GCCCTACGTGAGCTTCCGCGCGCCCGCGGGTGCCGACGTGCCGCTCACCGCGCGCCGGCTCTTCCGCGAGGCCGTGGCGCCCGCCGTGGAGCAGGACCTCAGGGACGGCGCCTTCGACCCCGAGCGCCTGGACAAGTACGGCTTCGAGCCCACGCAGGAGGGCAAGCTCTTCCAGCTGTACCCCAAGAACTTCCCGCGCTAGCGGCCGGGCCCGCGACCCGGGGCGTCTCTGCCGCCCGCCGGGCTCCTGTTGGAGACCGCGGCGCCCCCACCTGGCTCCTGTTAGAGACCGCGGGTGCCCCCCAGCCGGCTCCTATTGAAGACCGCGGCGCCCCCACCTGGCTCCTGTTGAAGACCGCGGCGCCCCCACTTGGCTCCTGTTAGAGATCGCGGCGCCCCCACTTGGCTCCTGTTGGAGACTGGGGCGCCCCCATCTGGCTCCTATTGAAGACCGCGGCGCCCCCACCTGGCTCCTGTTGGAGACTGGGGCGCTCCCACCTGGCTCCTGTTAGAGACCGCGGCGCCCCCACCTGGCTCCTGTTAGAGACCGCGGCGCCCCCACCTGGCTCCTGTTAGAGACCGCGGCGCCCCCACCTGGCTCCTGTTAAGACCGCGGGTGCCCCCAGCCGGCTCCTATTAAAGACCGTGGCTATCGCAGTGCGTGGTCCGCATCTGGTCCTTGTGAAACGAAGGTTGCGACACAGCAGGTCAGGGTGTGGTGCCCAGGCGGCGTCTCAGCCCCTTCCTGTGGTTTTGGGGAGCAGGGCAGGTTGCACCCCGTGAGCACCCCATGCCCCAGGTCCTTCATCCAGGGAACCTCATGAGCGTGTCTGCAGGTTCCAGAGAACCTGCTGGCGGGGGTGGAGGAGTGTCAGGTGAAAGACTGCAGGGCTCGGGGCAAAACGAAGGTGAGGCTGCACCGGATGGGGCAGAACTCGGGGGTCTCCAGGAACCTCCAGTGGTTCCTCTGCGTCGGCCAGTTGCAGTGACAGTCCCTTGGATTCTCTCATCTGCTTAGTGCTTAACAGACCCTTAAGTTAAATAAGGTAAACTCTAAAGGAGGGCTCCGCACTTCTGTGTTGAAATGAAGGGCCATTACTTGGGAGCTGATCCTTCAGCGTAGGGTCATCTCTTGTAACACTCTGACCGACCTTGCCCCGCACTGCATCATCAGAAAATAAATCAGAAGTGCAGGTTTCTGACTCGGGACACCTGTCCCACGTCAGTGCTGCTGAGGACTTGATAAATTCAACAGTGGCCTATGACAGACAACAGTTAACCTGAAAGTCAGGGGTCACAAGCCCAAGTGCAACATTCAGTTCACTGAAGCCACATAAGGAAGTGTGAGGAACCCACCACACTGAGGACATTCACACTGACCACATTTCAAGTCCCTGGCACTTAGCTAAGGCAACTCGAGGGACACACCCTTTGCTTACTGCAAAGCAAGTGGATATGAATATAAGCACTTCTCGTGCCTGAAGGTGATCTTTTTAAAAGTTCATATATAACAACTGGTGACATGGAGCAGCTTTAAAAAAACTTCATTCAGTTAACAAATATTGCTTAAGTAAGTGTGGAGAACTGAAAGTCAAATCCACATAAAACAGACAAGTTTGAAGGCTGGGCGAGGTCCCCCACCAGCACCTCCCTGCCAGAATCGCCACTTGAAGGGCCCAGCGGATACAGTTTACTTAAGAGGAACCAATAGCTTTCCTGACCATCTACACTGTAGAGTCCATAAGATGCACTGAGCCCTACACTGGAAGCTTCAGAGACTAGTAGGAATCCCAGCGAGCTGGTCTGAGGCAGTTCACTCACAGACGTGGTCTTTATGACTTCACATGGCGCTCAGCTCTCCCCCACTTCCAGAGGTGAAGAGCGTGGTCATAAAAGGAGCAGGTGGCCAGGAGGCTGATGGCAATGTCTGTGGCTTCCACATTCTGGCCACTGTCACAGACCTTAGTCCCCGGGGAGTATAGCTGGCTGCTGTTCTTCGCGACCTCCGTGGACAGCTGGCAAGTCCTTTCCCTACTTCCACTAAGGACCTTGGTATAACCCTTGCCATTGTCGTCTGCTAAATGGGGTCCTGGCGACTGGGGTGCAACCTCCACACCTGCTCTGGATCCTGGGTCGGTGCAGGAAACAGACCCCACAAAGAGCGACTGCTGGGTCTGTGGGAGATGGCAGGTGAGCCAAGACCAGTCGGCTCCATACACTAGTGAGCTGGGCATCCTGTGGGACACAGAGACTGTGCACATGTCCTGCTTCTCCTCTGGGGTGAGATAGAACATGGGAAACAACATTAGAGCTGGTCCTGTCACTGGGAACAACTGGGACAAGTGGAAACATGCCCCTTTTCTTGAATAATATAACCCCAGATGATAAATAAGTCTGTTGTAGAGTTAGTTTGTATTTAATGCAATCCCCATAAAACACCAATAAGCTTTTTTTACGAGGCAAAGTAAATTGATACTCAAGTTCAAAATATAAGAACAGCCTGGAGATCCCTGAGAAGATGAACGGAGAGGCAGTGTGCACAAGCACAAACACACCGCCATGCCTGCGTGAGAGCCGTGGGCATGAGAGGGGGACAGGAACCGAGGACAGGACACCTGCAAAGTCAACGCAAGACCAGTGGTGTCCCCCTGCACCAGGGGTGGACGGACTCTTCAGTAAATGGTGTTGGGACAGCCACAGGCACCACATGTAAGAACACAGATCAGAGCTTTCACTTTGCAGAAGTGAAACCATATTAAGCACTAGAAAAAAACCTGGTGATTCCTTTATAACCTGAGTGTGCAAGGAAGAGCCTTCTTAACTAAGGCTCAAAATCCAGACTCATTGGAAAAACATCTATAAATTTAATTCTATTAGAAACAAATAAAACCCCTTTGCAGGAGGGGAAAACACCACCACAGACAAAATCAAGACAGCAAAACTTTCCAACGTTACCAGAGATAAAGGGCTACAGTCACAAGTACCTGATAACTACAAAACCAAGGGGAAAATGACCAGAAACCAGAGAGGAAAACAGGCAAAAGACAAAGATAATTCACAGAAATAAAAATGTAAAAGCAGGCCTGCAACATGAAGCCACCTTCAGTTTCACTCGTGGTTAGAGACGTGCACAGTTAAAGCACGTGTGACCACTGCTCATCCATGAGCTGAGCTGAGGAT